CATTGTTAATTATTAAGCTCAAGCTTAAGTAGCTTGTATCGAGAGTATTACTCGCTAAGTGAGGGTGATGATTATTACCACGGTTAGCTTTATCGGATAAATTATTACATATTATACCATTTTGGTGGAATAACAAGATACATTTCATTTAATGGTACTTGTCTTTTTTACCAAAAAAAGCTTAGCACGCATTTTTATTCATATGATTATAATTTGGAACTATTAATAAATTTATTTTACTTCATGAATCTCTTTATTTTATTTTATTCAAAAATAATTTTAGATATCTAATTATAAAGGTCCGTTTAGTTTATATGATTGTTTTTGAGGGATTTAGATTTTATGGAGGGATTTGGATTTGGATTGGAATGGTTTTGAAATCATTGGTATTTTTGGTTTGTAGGAATTGGAATAAATTATTTATAAATAATTTTTTATAGAAAAAATTATAAAAATAATTGAATTACATTTTTATTAATCGGTTATTACAAAACAAATGTTTTTAACATTTTTTAAAACCTTATTGATACAATCTTACAAAATCCCGAGCACTTCTTAAAGATTTCAAAATCCTATGTTTGAAGGATTTCAATTAAATCCTAGGATTTAAAATTTGGACAATCCAACAAACCAAACATTAGATCGGAAAATACAAATCCCACCTAATCCATTTCATTCATTCAAACCAAACGAAACCTTAGGGCTTGTTTGTTTTTTTTGAAAATAAGCTCTTAATACCTCTTAAGTTTAAATCGGTCAAACGTTTTTATTTTAGACTGTTTATTTTTTTTTTTTTAAATAAGAGCTGAAAAGCTCTTATGGTCCTCTGAACTTTTAAGTGATAGTCTAAACTCTTAATAGGCACTTATTCGCACACGAGGACACCATATCAATCTCTCGCTTGATCTCCAGCTACGAAATCATACTGATCTATCCAAATCATACGATCTGGACACCATATCGATCTCTCACTCGGTCTCAAGCTACCGATCTATCCAAATCAATCTTCACAAAACGATCTCTGCAAATCAATTTCTCCTATATATGAGTTATTTTCTGAGTATGATCAAACCAACGAGCAAGGAGATGATGGTGACACAATTAATGCAGAATGAATATTGGTTCTAGTCATTATGAGACTTTATTCGTGTTTATATTCATTCAGATTTTAGACTTCAGACGTAAAAACAAACAGTTTGACTGATYCAGATTTCAGACTTCAGCACCACCTCTTATAAATCAGAAGTGAAATCAAACTTCAACATCTTTTAAAAAACAAACGACACATTAATTTATTTTACTAAACTATGTTATTTAAAATATTGTATTTCGAATGAAAGAAATACTTTTTTTTTTATTTTGAGTATTTAAACAATTATAGGTTGCTTATTTTTTATTATTATATGTCTGGATTAAAATGGAAAACAATAGACAATGGCTTATTTAAGTAAACTAAGTTATACTATTACTTTAATATAAAGCAAATAAATAAATAATTTTTAATGATCATGTGGATATATAAATTTATTAAATTTAATAACCAAAAAGGAAGAAACCTTTTTTTTTTCTTTGTGATTGATTAAAATGTTATAAATTTAATTGAAATTATATTTAAGGTTATATATCTAAATGATATTTTATAAGAATACTGTTGATTCCTTATCAGTTTATAAGATTTGATTTGTGGCAAACATTACAAGAGAACAGTTAGGGGTTCGGGTAAGTGAACACCAAATCACATTACCTTATCGGATGAATATGGTAAGGATCAAGAACCTTACCTGGTAAGAGCGAGACAATGACCAATAGTCTTACCCGGTAAGTGAGGGCGACGACTCTTACCACGGTAAGCGCTTATCGGTAAATTGTTGCATGCGATACCCTTTTTGTGAACTAAAATCTTACCCGATAAGTCAATGATAGTGTTAGATTTTGCCGATAAGCACTTATCGGGTAGGTTTTTGTTAAACGGCCCCTAGTCAAATTGGGAAAGCTTTTGATAAAGGAGATTAGCTGATAGAACATTTGTTGTCAATAGCTGACGATTGTTCTATCACTAACATATGATCGTACAATTATACCAGCAAATGATCAGATGTTTGCTATTGAATGAGTATCAGTCTTTGTTATGTCTCTTACTGTATAAAATTCTTGAGTCATTATCGTGCCATCGGTTAAGATAAGACACAACTGATAAGCATTTACCTGGTAAACAGCCTTTTTTTAGTGTTATGAAATTTAAATTTGAGATATTAAATTATGAAAATTCACTATCTATATTGTTTGTAACATAAAAAATCACAATTATTCGCCTCTTGAGATAAATGTACATTATCACAGTATCAATAGTGGAACCAGTGTAAATATCCTGTCTCAGTTTGACTGTCGTTACATCAATTGTATGTTTGACCTTGGTTATTGCATTTTCATTATTCGGGATTCGTTTATTATAGACAGATCGAGTAGTAGGTTATTCGAGCTCGACTCGAAAAAGTAGTATCAGCCTTGAGATCGAACAACTTTTTTTTTATTAGAGCTTGAGTTCGAATATTTATGATTTACAAAGCTCGAGCTCAATGCTCGTTTACTGTTGCGACCTTTCGATCCATTAACTCATATATTGGCTCAATTTTTTATATTTTTGTTGTATGATTTATGAATAGGAGCATGTTTGACTCGAAAAAATATATGCTCAAATGGCTAGGCTCGATTCGTAAAATTTAATCGAGTTTTCAAATTAGACGAGTCGAACATTGGTGTTATAAAGCTCGACTCGTTAAATTAAGCGAGTTCTACTTTGTGTTTGAGATCAATTCAAACTCGAATAGCTCATTAAAAACTCAACTCGTTTACACCTCTGTTATGACCTCTGTGTTTGTTTGATCATGTCTTGGATTTTGAGTCGTTTATTTAGGACCTACTGGAATCATGGGTTGAGTTTAAGTGAAAATAGAAGTTATGTTGAAGGATAAGAAGGGATCTTCATCCTTTGATCAATTCTAAATTGAAGATCAACACTAACGCAGTACACTGAGATGCATCAGATCAAATTTTCATGATAAGCGCAATCCATAGAGTGAAAGTGAGATTAAAAATGAAATATTGTTTATTGATGCATATTACTTAAAATTCAAGATTACAAGTAAATTATGCGTAAATACAACTTATCAAGCTCCATGTTTGAATTCATGTAACTAACTGTAGATAATCTATACTATCTTATAAAGCAAATTTAACAAAAGTCTTAAAGTCTTAAAATACTAAATGACCAAGATACCCTTTATATCACTTTTTCATTCACTCCTCCCCTCTCCTCACATACACTCACCCCATCACATACACTCACTCTCTTACAACAGACTTTTTTAAACTTATAATTTTAAATTTACACTTTATACTCCTATAATTAGTTAATTAATTTATTTTATGTTTTTTACTTTTAAATGTTTCATTTTAAACCTTTATCAAATTATTATACATAATCGTATATCAATTAAAACATGTTTAAAAATATATTTTTATTTTAACAAGTTACACCATTATAATCGTCTCATTAATACCTTCTAAATGAGTCCAATATTGAATAGTTTTTTACTTAATTATATTATCATATATTATATATACTGTGAAAAAATATTTTTAATATTTACGATTTATACTTTTATAGTTATTTATTTATATATATACTATATATTTTGGGGTTAGGCTGTCCAAATTGCACTGTATAATATGTTCTGAATTAATATGTTCTTGGGTTTTTTTGAAATATATATACACATGTATTAATTCAACCTTAATCCGAGTTTCTGGACAAGAAAGAGGGTAAGTAGTTGAAATTTCATTCTAAAACTCATCTTTTTTTTGTCTTTTCATGGCTTATGATCTGTCAAATTTGTAGTTTTCTTTATTGGTTTTGAGTGTTTATCTTAAAACTCAAGTTTCTTGGTTCTTTGCTCTTGTTGTAAATCGAACACATTTATGGAGTCGTTTAAATATGTTGGATTTTAAATATATTGGATTTTATACTGGCATACAATTTTTTTCATCGATAGTCCGTAATTGGAACCATAACTCTTATTTATTCAAATTGTATTAATATGTAAAGACCAAGTGTAACATATATCATCGTTAAATCTTATCTTATAAAACCAGTGGAACTTCAAAATCGTTAAAATTCATGACTCCCGCCGCATTGCGCGGGTACACAACTAGTATAATCAAATACAAGATAAACTTCTTATTTTAAATATAAAATCTGAATTATAATTAAGATAATTTTTAAGTTCTAATAGAATAATTAGTTATTATCTTTATAAAATTTATATTATTAAAACAAAATAAATTACTTCATAATTAAATCTTAAATTAAATTATAATATAAATTTGAATCAAAAAAATTACAAAAATAAAATGATAACTTTTATATTTTTTTAATTTTTATGATATCTTCAAAACCACATAAATTCATATTATAACATCAACAGATACCAAAAAAATAAAATAAAACATTAAAATCAAAAAATATCTCATTGCATTGCACGATTATACTTCTAGTAATAAGAAATATATACATCTTTTTCATGAAATCTCAAGCAAAAAGGTAAATTTTTGTTTGGGAATCTAAATATTAAAGAATAAGTAAATTCTTTGAATGTAAGTTGAAAAACTTTGAATGTAAGTTGAAAAACTACCTGATTGCACTAGAGAAGAACTTTGAATTCGAACCGAGCTCAGCCTGATGAACCAAACCAGAACTGCCAAATATGAGTCCGGTCCAATCCTAAACTGGCCCCCTTTTTCGAGCCCTAACCGATTAAGGGTATGTTTGGTCAAAGTCTAGTTAACTAGATCGATCAAGGACCAAACTAGACTCGATCAACAAAAGGGTGCCTACGTTCGGATTGCTTCCACAGAAGTAAAGAACGATTATTTTTTCAATTTCTTTAAAAAAAACCGAATCTCGCTAAGAAAGTCAAACCCTCCTTTGCAATCGAATGTAAAGCATGACCAAATATGAACATATTCAGCAACAACTAGTTTACAAGACCAGCGATTCTGGTCGAATGAACGAACCGGTAAAAACTTCCTACTTCAAAACAAGAGACTTCTAACAGTTCAAAACAAATGCTACCATCATCCTAAAGAAAAGGTTAAAATCCACATTCTGATCCTTTTTACAAGCAAAACCAACAGAGAATACAGCAGGAAACAACTATCCAGATGTAGACAAGAGAGACATGGCCCGTTTGAAATCCAGCGTTTTGAGGGACTCCGGAAAATTCTTACCAAATAATCCTCCATTGTGAGGCAGCAGCACCTGCGATTCATTGCCTTTTGCTGGAACTTCTTGCGCTTTTTTTACAAATTCAAAGAACTTCGCAACCTGGCGAGCATACCTTCAATAGACAGTCACCTTCTTTCAGTATAATATATATATATATATATATATAAGATAATTCCTCTCATGGGTATACGGAAGATAAAATGGTAGTTTCGTAATTTTTACAAATAGGCGGCAAACGGGTTCATATGTGATCCCATTTGATACACATGAACTATAAGTTCATGTGTGAACCCGTCAATTAGTTCACATGTGAACTATTTAACTAATTCATATATGAAACCACACATATAAACTATATGTTCACATGTGAACTATTTAACTGATAAATAGTTTATATGTTCATATGTGAATCACATAGGTTCATATATGAACCCGTTTGCCGCCTATTTGTAAAAATTATGAAACTACCCTCTATTTTTGACCAGTCAAAGACACAATTATTAACCAGTCAAATCAGATATTGATCGTATGAAAGCCAAGGATCACTTCTTTACTTATCAAATATTTACCACGTTTCAAAATAACCTTTGGCTATATATATATATATATATATATATATAGGGACATGTTCATTTCAGGAAATCTATAATATGAATTCAAAACTGCCAAAAAAGGAGAAAATGAGCATATGAAAGCAAAAAAAAAACCATACTGCTCCTTAGCTTCAATATCCTTGGAAAAATCAATGTTGGGTTCACAGTCAAGAACCAATGCAGGGACCTGTTTGTTGCACACACACACAGTCATTAATGATTAATCAACTAAAAGGGATGTTCATCAAGTTAATTGAAGGGCAAAATGTAACAAAGTTTCAAAGTTCCCTTTTTTTACTCATTTCACCTGTAACCTGCTAATCTTGTAATACTGAATGACGTGGATGTCAAGTTTATCGCCCCCCCTTCATGGTTACCCTTACATAAATGGGTTTCCACGTCATCAAATGTTACAAGATCAGCAGATTACAGGTCAAAATGGGTACATAATACAAAATTGTGAAACTTTGTTACATAGATTTAAAAATAAAATAAAAACTCTTGGTTACACTAAATAGAAACTAAACCAAACATTGTTGCATTTGGATGCATTTTGCTCTTAATTCGAAGAAGGAAATAACCATTTACCTTCTGGATACTGGAATGCATATGATTGCCCTCCAAATAGAAAACATGATCTCTTATATCGGGATGCAAAGAGTTATCCATGTGAAGTGGAAGCTTACTGACAGAAAGTATCCCATGATTTTCGCTTTCGAATGGCAAAAGCCAGCTCTCGTGCTTTTCATGCAAACCACGCAGATACTCTAGGCTCACACCACCTTCTTCTTCTCTCTTGCGTAGCATCATTCGTTTATGGCAAGTATCAGGGCTAGCTCTAAGATAAATAAAACCGTCTGGAACGAGTCCAGGCAAAGATGAAACAACCGGATCGAACCATGAGTCATAGATGCTGATTTCCATCTCGTTCATCCAGTTAGCTTCGTGAACAGCTCTCACAAAGACCTTCATCAATTGGCCAAAATAAACGACCCATCAGCAACTCACTTATATCAACTAGTTGTGTACCCGTGCAATGTAGTGGAATGTAACACTTTGTTATAAACCAAGAACGGAAAATCAATTCAATTTCTCAGTAATGAAATCATAAATTTATGGAGTATTCTGCTGTATTAGTAAGGCTTAGGGTCTGTTTGTTAGCAGCTTAATGAGCTTAACAGGACTCACGGCTTATTCGGTCAGCTATACATGACTATTTGGTAGTGGCTTAATGATATAGAAAGTCAGGGTTTTTTTTCCAAACTTACCCCTCCCAATTAAAAAGTACTGATCCTTCCATCTATGAAAATCCCCTCCCAAACGAAAATCTTCCAATCCATACAGACAACTTTATCCATATAAGACTTAACGGAAAACATAACAAACAGCCCCTTAATATATTAGAATGTGTTTATCAATTGATTGTGGAGCTCAAACATAGAGAGCTTTAAGAAAGTTGTACATATACAATCATAAGTTGAAATTTAAGATATTATAGTATTTAATGTTTAATAAGTTGTTTTTAAGAGTTTCTACCAAATGATCTATAATATGGTATAGATACAAATAATGTCGTTGATATTCTACAAGCCAACCATTTGTCGGGAAAAGCCATATGGATACGGGATTCAAGCACACGAGTAATATCATGGCAACGGAATTTAAACCACACACAAACAAGAAAACGCAGAATTTATGTGGTTCGATCACAAATCAGATGGCGTAAATTACCATTCGATCGCTGAAAACACTTCTTTCCATTAATCTAAGCGGCTTAATTCCACTTGATGACTCTTTCTCCTGCATAACTCTTGTAACGAAAACATAATTTTGGAATGTGTACGCATACCTCTGCGGCTCGGAATAGAAAGCATCTAAAATGTTAAAATGATCGGGTCCAATATCCTGCCATTTGTCAATAGGTTCAGGAACGATCTCAACAAGATCCTGAAGTTCAAGTGTTTCATTTGCAATTCTCTTCAAGAAGGTTGTCTTCCCAACACTTATGTTTCCTTCTACACAAAAAGTAAGTCGTTTCTTTGGGGCAGATTTGACACCGTCATCTTTCATCTCTTCATTCACACTCTCTTCGATGAAAGTGGTTATACTCTCGGCATGGTTTCTATGTATAATCCCAACAGAGCTTTGTAAAAAATCAACCATCTTCTGATTCGATTTCCCGAAAAACTGTTGAGCAGGAAAAAGAAAACCAAAAGAACATTAAACCTAAATCGATGGATTAACACATTATGAGATCAAGAATCTATCTATCTATCTATCTATTAACATCATTCCACATCAACAATCAACACCAATTTAATACGAGTAACAAGCGAGAAAACTATGCACCCGCTCGCTATACCGTGCCAACCCACATAATGGAACGATAATTCGGTGTCTTAAACGTGCATCCGCTCGAAATTATCATGTTCAAAGTGGTTGTAATCAACTTTTCCACTTAACCACCCCTATAACACATGCAATCAATCCATAATTTTACATTTGTTTTGATATACCTCAAAAGGAATCAATCACATCTTGACTCCAAAGGGTAATAATACCTTGTCCTTGTAGATTTTCTTGAGCTCAGCAACACCAGCAATCCCATTCTCCACCAGCTTCCTCAAGTTTCTTGGTCCCACGCCCGGAATTCTCAACAGATCGGGATTTCCGGCGAGTAATGGCGGAGGATTACTACTCCCACCACCCAACAAACCCCTCTGCCTCCTGTTCAATTTCGTCGACTTCACCTCCGAAACCGACAACCCTTTATCACCGCCACCGTCATCTTCACTATTCTCCACAGAATTCAAAACCCCCTTATCAGAAGAAGTATAAGAGGTACGAAACCAAGCTAAACGAGACCCACTTCGACTCTCCTTAAACACAACCCATGCTCTACCGGGAACACTTGTACCACTCTGGATGGAACACCGGCAAATACGACACTTATAATCAGAGCTGGAATCACAGAAACTGGAACTCGAATAGGTGGTAGGATTACACATGGAAAGCATAGGGTTCCGACCACTAAGAAAGTGTAAAGCGGTGGCAGCCGGCGGCATTAGGGAAGGAAAGGAAAAGGGGTTAGTTTTCTTAAACCTTAGAGAATGTAAGCTACGTTTGGTGGTATTTTGCTTAAACCCTAGTGGGATAAGATGAAGAGCAGGGGGTAAAATAGTGGGTGAAGGCCATAGAATTGGGGCCCCTGAACAAGGGTTTCGACGCAGCAGCTTCTGCATACTTTACAAACATTTCCTTGCAAAAATCACTCTCTTCTTTGTCGGTTTGCTTCCATTTCACTGTAATTTTCGGCTTCTGAAACTCAAGTTGTAGAGAAAGCGGGAGGGAGGGAAGGAAGAAAGGGTTTTGTGTATGTTAGAATTACTGTTCCTTTTTTTCCGCCCTAATATTTTGGGTTTAGGAAAAAGGAAAAAGTTTGGAAAATTTTAAATAAATAAATTATTTAAATTTTTAAAAATTAATTACTTAGAAATTTCTTACTGCAATTTTGCAGTTTGCATTTGTATCAAATTGCATTATACGGTATGGTTTGTGGTTGTGAGTTATATATATATATATATATATATATATATATATATTAGAAGAATATTCGTGTAATGTAGCGAGACAAATCTCGATTTTAATGTTTTATTTATTATGTGTCTTTGTAGATGTTATAATACGATTTTATGTGTTTTTAAGAAAGCAATAATGATTTTATTTTTGAATAAAATATAAATTTGAAAATATAATAAAATTTTGAAAAAAAAATATATCAACGTTAATATCCAATCAACTATTTAAAAGTTTTTATATTTTATGTAATTTCTTTAATTTATTTTTTTATTATAATTTAATTTAAGTTTAATAATGAAATGATTTATTTTTGGTTTAATAATATAACAGTTTATAAAGATAATAATTAAGTATTCTGTTAGAACTCAATGATTATACTAATTATATTTTAGATTTTTTATATTTAAAATGAGATGTTTATCTTGTATTTGATTGTTTTTATCTGCAGTTAGTTACACGAATTCAAATATGGAGCTTTAATAAGTTGTACATACGCACAATTTACTTTTAATCTTGAGTTTTAAATAATATGCATTAATAAACAGTATTTTACGCATAAAAAGTGGTTTTTAAGAGTTTTTGTCAAATGATTTATAATATAGAATATATTTATTTATATATAGAAAAGTACCCGCGCAATGCAGCGGGATACATCTTGATTTTAATATTTCATTTTATTTTTTATCTCAGTCGATGTTATAATATGGTCTTATGTGATTTTGAGAAAACAATGATGTTTTTATTTTTGAATAAAATATGAATTTGAAGATATCATAAAAATTTGACAAAAATATATCGATATTAGTATCAAATTAACTATTTAAAATAATTCTACTTGTATGTAATTTTTTAATTCAAATTTTTTTATTATAATTTAATTTAAGTTCAATAACGAA